ATCAGGCTGTCTGTCAGGTCTTATTCTCTGGGGTGATAAGACGCTGCAAAGGACTTAAGATATTCCCAGAGAAATCAGTATCTCCAGTGTTTCAAGTATGTGTTCTTCAAGTTTTTCTTCCATCGACAGTTTTTGTCTGACAGTTTTACGACTCCAGCTCCTTTTCTGCTGTATGGATGTTTCCATCAGTCTGCTGGTAGGGGAGGCCCCGCTCCACCGAAACACTTGAGCAGGTGCTGAACTTTACGCATTTGAATAGCTCTGCTGAAATCAAAAGGCCCCACCGTCCAGCTTTGGTGTATCAGGGCTTCATTAAATCATAGGAAGCTGCATTGATGGTTGATATAATCATGGCAGCACCCAGCCCTGCTCCTCTGCTCCCGCACCGCCGCTGGTATGCCTGAAATGGTTCCTCGGGAAATGAGCAGCCGTGACTGCCGCATGCAGCGCATGTCCATGTCTGTGTTAACAGGATGAGGTCTGACCTTGGAAAAAATCCTAATTACAACTTTCATGCATTCTCTGCCACCGTAATTTCGGTTCCTACCGTATACTCTTAAGGGTCTCAGCTTTTGCATTGCAAACTCCTGGAGGCAGCAAGGCTTTCTAACTTTGGCTGCAAATATTTGCATACACGCCGAGCTGCAAGAGACTTTCTCCACTGTTTGTCTCTTCTTTAACACATCTCTGTTCTGCCCATTTTTTCTCACTTCTCCTCCAAAGGGAAAGTGACAGAGTCAGCCACAACGTGCCTGCGAGTGCTGCAAGACAGAAACCTGTAACCATCCCTTCCCCCTCCTCCTCCTCTGGTTTTAGATAATTAGCTGAAAAAATATTTCCTTGCTAAGGCTACACCAGAGGAGCGGAGTGTATGAAGACTTGTAACTAGAACTGGGGAGAATTATTTTTGACAACTGTTTTATTGTCTTGGGGAAAGAAATGTTTCTTCGGTTGTTGCGAAACAATGCTCCAGTTGGGGTTGAGTTTTTCGGGTAGTTTTGACCAGCTGTTGGCATTCAGGGCTTGTTCATGCAGCCAATGGCCAACGAGGGAGCGGTTGGGACCTCACTGAGGCTGGCAGGGAGGCAGAGGAGGGGACGTGAGAAGTCCAG